AAAAATTACAGTAGATTGTCATATATCAAATACACTAAAATGTCTGAATTTCCTAATGATGAAAACGTAAAAAAGCCTCATTAATCATCGTTGGAGGGTGCTAAGGAATCAGCTCATTATTCTGCAGATGGGTAAATAGGGGAAAAAATAAGCATTTTATCTCATCTTTCCTGTAGGACTGCTACCAAAGAGTTACTGAGGGAAAGTTTATAGAAGTACTGTAGCCTAAAGGATAGATCTAAGCGGTGATCCTCAGTGGCCGCTACAAGCATTCTGTGCAGAGCTGCTGAGAACTTTATCAGTTCTAGGCAAGAACACTTAAACCTAATGTTTTTTTTTGTTTGTTTGTTTTGTTTTGTTTTTAAATTTGAGATGGAGTCTTGCTCTGTCACCCAGGCTGGAGTGAATGGTGTGATCTCGGCTCACTGCAACCTCTACCTCCTGGGTTCAAGTGATTCTCCTGCCTCAGCTTCCCAAGTAGCTGGGACTACAGGTGCCCCCACCACGACCAGCTAATTTTTATATTTTAGTAGAGATGGTGTTTTGCCATGTTAGCCAGGCTGATCTCAAACTCCTGATCTTAGGTGGCCTGCCCACCTCGGCCTCCCAAAATGCTGGGATTACAGGCGCAAGCGCCACCTCGCCCAGCTCGAACCCAGTCTTGATCAATAATTTTTTTTTTTTTGAGGCAGGGTCTCACTCTGTCACCCAGGCTAGAGTGCAGTGGTGTGATCTTGCCTCACTGCAGCCTCAACCTCCTGAGCTCAAGTGATCCTCCCACCTCAGCCTCCCAGATAGCTGGTACTACTGGCACATACCACCACACCCAGCTAATTTTTTAGTTTCTTGTAGAGACGGGGTTTTGCCATGTCACCCAGGCTGGTCTCAAACTCCAGAGCTCAAGCCATCCACCCACCCCTACCTCCCAAAGTGCTGGGTTTATAGGCATGAGCTACCATGCCTGGCCATGATCAATCTTAATATCACAGGGTAGCTTGCATGCATATGTACCTTCTTAGGGCATCATGGAAGACTGTCTATTCCTGATCTAACCACCAGTATACAGAGCTTAGGGGACAGATGAACATGCTGAGCAATATCTGAGTGCAGTTGGGAATATGGGGCACTTCACAGGACGAATAACCCATTTTCTTTCGCACAAATTGTAAGGGGGAAAAAAAGGAGAAAATCTATGGATCTAAAAGAACTGTAGAGTGTTTGTTAATCAACAAACATTAATGAGACAATAAAATCTGAAAACTGATTGGACATTTGTTGCTATTAAGAAATTATAGGTTGAGAGCTGTGGCTCATGTCTATAACCCTAACACTTTGGGAGGCTGGGGCAGGAGGATTGCATGAGCCCAGGAGTTTGAAGCTTTAGTGAGCTGTGACTGCACCATTGCACTCCAGCCAAGGCAACAGAGCAACACCCTGTCTCGAAAAAAAAAGAAAAAAATTATAGTTAAAGTTTTAGTTGTGATAATATTATGAATTAAATGGCATAATTTCTGGGAATTTTCAAAATAGTGCAGAAAGAAAGTAGATAGGGTATAAAAGGAAAAAAAATTGACCGTGATTGAAAATTGCTGAGTCCGGATGATGGGGGTAGGGAGGTTGGCTGTACTGTTTTTTCTGCTTTTGTATATGTGAAATTTTCCATAACGAAAAGTTAAAATATATACACTGGAGGAAAAAATGAGTTCCTTTTGCAAAGTGGTGCACCCAACTAGCAGAAAGAAATGTTAGAGGAGAGCTGGCTGAATCCAGTTCAAGGGATAAAAAGAGCATCCAAAACACAAAGGCCTAATAAAAGAAAGAGGCGAAGTGGAAAGTGTTTGTGGCCCAGTGTGGTGGCTCACACTTGTAATCCCAACACTTTGGGAGACTGAGGCAAGAGGATGACTTGAGCCCAGGAGTTCAAGACCAGCCCGACAACATAGCAAGATCTCATCTCTATTAAAAATAACTTTTTAAAAAATTAACCAGGTGTGGTGGGGCATGCCCGTGATCCCAGCTACTCGGGAGGCTGAGACCGGAAGATCACTTGAGCCCAGGAGGCCAAGGCTGCAGTAAGCTGTGACTGTACCACTGGACTACAGCCTGGATGATGGAGTGAGACACTGTCTTTAAAAAAAAAAAAAAGCCAGGCTGGGCGCGGTGGCTCAAGCCTGTAATCCCAGCACTGTGGGAGGCCGAGGCGGGTGGATCACTAGGTCAAGAGATCGAGACCATCCTGGTCAACATGGTGAAACCCCGTCTCTACTAAAAATACAAAAAATTAGCTGGGCATGGTGGTGCGTGCCTGTAGTCCCAGCTACTCGGGAGGCTGAGGCAGGAGAATTGCCTGAACCCAGGAGGCGGAGGTTGCGGTGAGCCGAGATCGCGCCATTGCACTCCAGCCTGGGTAACAAGAGCGAAACTCCGTCTCAAAAAAAAAAAAAAAAAAGCCATGTGAAAACAGATCATAAAAGCAGGAAAAGAATGGGTTATACATTACAGCCAAAGATTTTTAAGAAACTCTTATCAGGCCCATTTAATACTTTTTGCCAAAATCTGTCCCGTGAACTTTTTTGGACCATTAATAATGTGGCAGCTGGCCAGGTGCGGTGACTCACGCCTGTAATCCCAGCACTTTGGGAGGCTGAGGTGGGTGGATCACTTGAGGTCAGGAGTTTGAGACCAGCCTGACCAAAATGGTGAAACCTTGTCTCTACTAAAAATACAAGAATTAGCTGGGCATGGTGGTACACACCTGTAATCTCAGGTACTCGGGAGGCTGAGGCAGTACCTGGGCAGTACCTGAATCGCTTGAACCCAGGAGGCAGAGGTTGCAGTGAACCAAGATCACATCATTGCACTCTAGCCTGGGCAATAAGAGCGAAATTCCATCTAAAAATAATAATAATATGGCAGCTGCTGCTTTTTTTGGCCATATCCTTTTGTCCATTTTTTTACATTTTGCTTTTTTGGGTTGATTCATGTCATATTATCAGCAGTCTATAAGTTTTGTTTTTTGACCCAGTCTGAATAGCAGAAGAAAGTCAATCTACAAAGCAGTCTACAAAGTAATATGGGAAAAAAAAATCAGTTTGGATGTATACCATAAGGTTAATTATCTCTGTGTTGTACAATTGTGGGTATTTTTATTTTGCATAAAAGCGTGCTTGTCTGTATTTTTTCCAAAACTAACATGTTACAGGTTGCACAAAAAATGAGGTGTTTTTAAAAATAAAACTTACTGAACTTTCCAGTCATCTGAATAAAAAGGAAGGAGAAGAGGAGACGGAAAAAATATGTTGAGATCATTTGCCTAGATCTTAGGAATACTTTATTAGCATATGACATCTAGTACATACTGGAAAGCAGTTAAAATCCTGTCCAAGCTTGACTCTGAGAGAAACTTTACAGGAATTGTATGAGCTCCGTCCTGACACAGAAGAAGAGGGTCTTGGTGAAGGCTTACCTAGGGACCGTGTTTGCTTTGATATTACACATAGACCATGACCGGGATCCTCAGAGCCTCTGGCAAAACATCAAATATATTAATTTACTTAGATTTTCTATTCTTGGCACAAGAAACATGCATTACGCTTTGACGTGGGGTGGTAGGGGGAGTGCACTGACTCAGTTGCTGGAACCCAGCTCAGAACTCAAAAGTGTTGACATCTTCCTAGCAAGAGTGATGGGGGAGCGAGCAGGATTCAGAGTTTTCTGCTTCTTTCAAGTTCACGTCAAAATCTCTAATAATACCAGACCTCTGAGTGATAACTGATACTGTTCCTCCTGGGAGTGCTGTTTATAATGTTAGTGATGATAGGGATGAGAAATCCATGCTGTGCTTGCTTTTGGGCTTGGAGGGCCACCCCAGCAGCCTCCAGTTATTCAGTGGCTGATTCAGGTTGAGTTAGAAATAAAGAGACAGAGCCACAGAGGCCCAGGCCTTTACACATTCATTTGTGGTCAGGAAGGTCCTGAGCAGCCACCATGGCAAAATTCTCAGCGTACAGTGAGTGATCAGAGACCTGCCATCTTTGGGGCTGCCAGTTCCCCTGAAAAGGGCCTCAAAGCCAGGGTGCTGGCGTCTGTGTGAAGTTGTGTTCTCCAGTCATCTCTGAAGAGCTCAATTCCTGCTGTACCTTTTCCCTCTGTTCCTCACTTCCCTTTACCTCCTCCTTGCTCTCCTCCTTCCCAAGCCTGTCCCCTCCCTGCCCATTCCAAGAAGAGTAAGACTTGCCTTTTCTTTCCCCCAACTCAGCATCACCTTACCCTCCTTCTCTCGCCTTCCCGCCCGCCCCACCTGCCCGCCAATCTCCCCTCCAGGCCCAAATCAACCGTTCCCCTGAAGCTCTGGGTCCCTCCTCACTACCACCCCAACTTAGCCTCCTCTCTTTTCTTCTCTCCACCAGGAAATGCACTCAAATTCCTACTGGTCTGAAACCTCTCCCCTCAGCCCTGCCTCCTAGGATTCTGCTTTTTCTTTCTCTTTTCTATGCAACTTCTGTCTCCTGTGGCTTTTAACCTGCTTTGCCCTCTCACCATGAATTCTCCTTCTTCCTCACTGTGGGTGGTCTATCTCCCAGAATTCTCTCCAAAATCTATCTCCATGCACGGGCTATATTTTTGGATGTATTTCTGCCCAGCTGGACAGTGTCTCTTCTCCACGTTCCCAGATTGCAGGAACGGTGTGGGCAGCAGTGACTATTTGATGGATGCCTGCACAACCTTCCAGAGAGCTTCCAGCTCTGAGAAATTGATCCTTGCTGAGCAAATCTTGTCTCTCCACTCTCACAGATAAAGACTGACCAGGCCTACTCCCTCAGACTTAGGGTCCACCGAACAAGATCTGTCAAACCCGGTGAACAGGCTGGGTGAGGGGATGTGCTGGAATGCGGAGGGGGCTTCCAGCAGATCCGTAGCCAAGACCAGCGCACAGAAGCGCTAACAGTACTCCAGCCTTTTGCGTTTTTGTGATCCTCAACAGTCCTGTTATATTCCAGGTTCTCCAAGCCAGCACCCATGTTCCTGGATGACTCCTTTCGCAAGTGGGCTCGAATCCGGGAGTTTGTGCCGCCTTTTGGGATCAAAGGTCAAGGTATGTTGGGAACCCTGACCTACATTAACATCTCATTCCCCCCTCCACCCCCAACTGTCTCCCTATCCTTCAGGACAAGGCTGTATCCTCAGAAGTCTCCATGCTGAGAATCTACCCTCCTCTACTCTCAACAAATCTTCTCTACCTTTTTCCCTTCCTTTTTTTCACTTTTTTTTTTCTTTTTTTTTTTTTGAGATAGAACCTCGCTGTGTTTCCCAGGCTACAGTGCAGTGGCATGGTCTCGGCTCATGCAACCTCCACCTCCTGGGCTTAAGCGAGTCTCCTACCCCAGTCCCCTGAGTAGTTGGGACTATAGGCACACACCACCGTGCCTGGCTAATTTGTGTGTGTGTGTGTGTGTGTGTGTGTGTGTGTGTATGTATACATATATATTTTTTTAAAGTAGCGACAGGGTTTTACCATGTTGCCCAGGTTGGTCTCAAACTCCTGGGCTCAAGTGATCTGCCCAAAGTGCTGGGATTACAAGCATGAGCCGTGCCCGGCTTCTTTACTTCTTCAATGGAATATTTACACAGAGCCCACCACTTTCCCAGGGGCTAAGTGTACAACAGTGAAGTAGATTTGGTTTCTCTCCTGAAAAAGCTCCAGCATAGTGGTGATACAGATAGATACTCACAGTGCAGGGCTCCGGTTAGGGAAGTATAAGGAGCCGTGAGAGCACAGAAAAGGTGTGCCAGAGACATGAACACTAGAGTACTTGGTGTGGTAGGTACATTTCCCGAGAAAACAGAGACAGGCCCCCAAGAGTGCCCCCAGGCCCCTCTCTCAGCCCATCCTGATGTTTTTCAACTGAACCTCATCTCCCCTGCAGCCCTTCCTTATCCTGTCCAAGGCTAACCTTTCCCTTACACTCAGGAACTCCCCTTCCATTGCCTTAGGGGCCTCACCCACACAGTTCCCTCCTAACTTAAGACTTTCCCATCTTCCCTAGTAGTTGAACAATTCTGCTTCTTTGTCAAGCTCTGTGCTATTTCATGGCATGGGTGGAAAATAATTTGGACTTAGGGGTCAGGCATAGAGGGATCAGATCCCCATTCTGCCTCTTTACTAGCTGTGACCCTGGACAGGTTACCTGTCTGTTCTTTAGTTTCTTCATCAGTTAAGCAGAGAGAATAATACTACCGTGTAAAGTTGTGGTCAGAATTACATAAAATAACTGTTAAAGGGGTGATGTCCTTTGGCCAGGAGACTCAAGAATACCTGAACCCTCTACTCAGCTGGCTCTCCTCTCCCTAAAAAGAAGACAGTGGCCAGGAAACACACTGTTGAACTGGAGCTTTGACCTCAGACCTCCAAGGACAAATCTAATGGGTCGGGTTCAACCATATAAAGAACCCCTTTTTCCCTGGGTGCAGGCAGCCAAGAAGGCCACTTTTCTCTCTTAAATCTGCACCTGAGACTCTGATGGGATAGCTACAAAGGCCAGGAAAGTTCCATTTGGAGCCCATCAGCCAGCAAGCAGAGAGCACCTGCAGAGTGTGCTCTTTCTGCTGAGGTTCTCCTCCTAGAAAACAAAGCCCAATCCATATCCTTCACCTGGGCTAATTAGTAGCAGTATGCTCTTCCTTAAAGGTGAAATTGGAAGTGGGAAAAGGAGGGAACCTGTGACCTTCCTGAAGCCCACTGTAAGGTATGTCTGAAGGCATTTATTGTAGAACATTGCTTAAAGGCTTGCTTCGCTACCGCATTCTCATTCAACTTCTGGAAGGATTCACTGCACCTGCTGCCTCCTCTTTCTCACCATTTACTCCTGAAGAATATCTGCACCCCTGCCCATCCCACCCCACTATTCCAGTGAAATGGCTCTGTGTCCCAGAGAAATCCAAGGGATACTTCTCAGTCCTTAAGGTGACCTCTCAGCTACATCTGCCAGTGTCTCCACCCCCTCCTTTAAAAAAGTATAAGTTTATTATTTTTAATTTTGGAGTCATTTCTTCTTTACATGAAATATTTCAAGCACTACAAAAAATACTAGGAATAATAAGCATTCATGTACCTTCTACCCAGCTTAAGAAATAAAATATGAGATACAATTAAAGCTTCTGTGTGGCCCTTCCTACTCCATTCTCCTCCTTCCCCAGGAAGCCATTATCCTGCATTATTCTGTTTTCAGTGTTGGTATTCTTATGCCTTGTTTATATATATTTGAGACAGGGTCTTGCTTTGTCACCCAGGCTGGAGTGCAGTGGCATAAACACGACTCATTACAGCCTCAACTCCCGCACTCTAGCCATCCTTCCACCTCAGCTCCCCAAGTAGCTGGGACTGCAAGCACACAACAGCACTCCTGACTAATTTTTGTATTTTCTTTTTTTTTTTTTTTTGGTTGAAACAGGGTTTAACCATGTTGCCCAGGCTGGTTTCAAACTCCTGAGCTCAAGCAGTCCTCCCTCCTTGCCCTCCCAAAGTGCTGGGACTACAGGTGTTAGTGACCACACCTGGCCTCATTTATATACTTTCACTACATATTTATATGTTTATTAAAAATATGGTACTGCTCTTATATGTCTTTAAACTTTATAAATTGTGTCTTTATATGTACACGTATGTATGTATATGTGTATTCTTCATATTGATTTTTTGAATATGTTTTTGAGATATACCTGTATTGGTACACATAGCTCTAGGTCATTGATTTTTTTTTTTTTAATGGCTGCATAGGATTTCATACATCACATTTAATCTGTTTTCCTTTCGTGGACATTCAGCTTGCCTCCTGCATTTCACTATTACAAACAGGTCAGCAGTGAAAACTCTTGCATGTCTCTTGCAGCAAGTGTGTGACTTTTTAAATGCTCCGCACCTAGGAGCATAGTTGTAGAATCTTAGTATATGCACAGCTTTGTGGTTATTTGATGTTGTTAAGATGCTCTCCTGTGAAGATGCCAGTTTACTTTACTTTTAGGTCTTTATGTACATTATATTGTATCTTCCTAACAACTCCACAAAATAGAAATTACCTTCATTTTAGAGATGAGGAAACTAAAGCTCAAAGAAAGGAAATGATTTATATAAGGTCACAGAGCACAGCCAGTATTTAATTCCAAACCCAATACCCTTGTTATTCACTATACATTATATTTTAGTGCTCTCTTCATACCAGAGTTTGGAAGAGCAGTCAGCATTGCCAAAGCCAGAGAGAGGCCAAGGAGATGAGGTCTAAATAGTGGGCACAAGGTCTGAGAGCACAGAAGTCACAGCAGTCCCTGCTGAGTGGAGTACAGGTGGGCAGAGCCAGGCGCAGGGAGTAGAGAGGTAAGGAGGTAGACAGCCTGGCAAAGAGCAGGATTCGGGATTGGCGATGTGAGAGGGAGGGAGTGAGGGAAAGGTGATATCAGATAATGAGCCACATGGTGAGCTCTTTAGTCATTGGTCTCCTCCTTTGTTTCCTGGTATCTGCTGGTTGAGGGCACAGAGATAAGCACAAGATGGTCTCTAGCCCTGAGCAGGTACTCCCATTCCAGGGGAGACCACATGCTCCAGCTTCCAAGAAAGGCCCTGGCCTAGGAATGCCTGTCCTGGGGCCTGACCACAGAGCCTCAGAAAACCAGACGAGCCTCCCAGAAGCTCTGTGCCAGTGTTAGGGCGGGCTCCCAGGCAGTGATATGCCTGTCTGTTTCCTGTCTTCACCTTCTTCTCAGGAGGAAAGTCAGGGCAGTAGCCCAACACGTCCTTGTGTCCAGAGCTCTCTCTCTCCACTTCCACTTTCACTCTAGCCTCCAGGAACTTGTGCCTTCCCATAGGATTATCAGTGAACATTTTGTAGAAACTTAAGGGACCTTGTAACAGAAACCTCTCTCCTCTGTCCGCAGACAATCTGATCAAAGCCATCTTGTCAGTCACCAAAGAGTACCGCCTGACCCCTGCCTTGGACAGGTGAGCCACGCACTGCCCAGCCCCCTCCCCATCGCTGCCTGGTAGTGTGCAGAGGTGTTGAGGCCCAGCTGGCCTCCCCTAGACATGGGCAGTTTCTCCAGCACACCCACATGTGCACATACAGTACACACACAGGGCGGGTGGAGCGGGTAAGTGGAACCACTCCACCTGACTTGTGCCCCCACGGGCTGTTAGAACTTGGCAAGACATCCCAGTCCTCAGATACCAAAGGTTTGAGGGTAGGAACCAAAGACACTGCGGCTGGGACCAGTCCAGCAATGGGACTGAGGGCCTGGGTGGTAGGGGCAGGTGATGGGGACAAGGCTTAAGTCCAGAAGGCAGTGACAGCTCCCAAGCCAACAGACCCTAGAGCGGGAAGCCCCAGGGTCAGGGAGGGGAGAAGCAAGATGGGTGAGCTTCCCAGTGGCTGCTGGGAGCCTTGAGTCCTAGAGCCTCCTATCCCATTCCCTTTTTCTTGCTTTCCTGGTATAGCCCCAAGCTCGGCCCACTTTTCCCTCTCCCCTGAAGCCTGCCTAAACACCACCACCCCTTGGAGAACCTTTACCCTAGAATGCCATCTTACCAGAGCTCCCTTCTCACCGTCCAGCCTAGCACCCAAGCCTTGCCACACCCCTGTTTTCCTGGGGAAGTGTCGGGGCCTAGAGATGCTGGAGAGTCTTAGGGCCCAGCTAACCACTGTGTGGTTCAAGCCTTCTCTCAGAAATGCTTCCAGAAGCCCATTGGCCTTCCTCTATCTCAGCCTGGTCCTGGAGAACGGCATGGGGGTCAAGGGCCAAAGGAGCAAGAGAAGAGAGCTGGTGGGCAGCTCTCTACAGAGGTCTCCACCCCTCTCCCCTCAGCCTTCGCTGCCGCCGCTGCATCATCGTGGGCAATGGGGGCGTTCTTGCCAACAAGTCTCTGGGGTCACGAATTGACGACTATGACATTGTGGTGAGGTGAGCTCCCCAAAGTGGCACCTCGGGTGAGTGTCCTGGCCCAAACCCTTAGCCCTGAGCCCACTGGGAACTGTCTATCTGGCTAGTTGGTGGTCAGCAGACGCCTCAAGAGCCCTGGGTTGGCGGGCTTTGGAACAGACAACTAGGGGTGGCACCTGAGGAGACAAGGCCCAGCTGACCGGACTCCCTGTTCTCCGTGCCTGGGGTATTCTGGGGTCATGGTGCCTCCCCAAACACAGACCCAGCTCAGCCTCTGACTGGACCTGCTCTCTGTAGACTGAACTCAGCACCAGTGAAAGGCTTTGAGAAGGACGTGGGCAGCAAAACGACACTGCGAATCACCTACCCCGAGGGCGCCATGCAGCGGCCTGAGCAGTACGAGCGTGATTCCCTCTTTGTCCTCGCTGGCTTCAAGTGGCAGGACTTTAAGTGGTTGAAATACATCGTCTACAAGGAGAGAGTGGTAAGCTCTCCTGGCACCAGCTCTTTCCCCTCTTGCCCTGGCCCTCCCCAACTCCTAAGCAGTCCCATCCCCTGAACGCAGCAAAGAACAAGTAAGAACCTTCAAAAGAAGCATCAATGACCCAAAGCTGAAAGTCACCCAAAGGCAACCGAGGGGCAGAGAGATCAGGAGATTGCCAGGGTAACTGGCCAGACTCCGGGAGGTGATACGCCTGAAACCTGCGAGCTGCTTCCAGGTGCCCGGGTGCAGATCCTTTCTCAGCCTTCTGTTGCCAGACGCGAGTGGCCCCAGGGGCCTTCCCTGGCCTTAGATCTCCTGGCTGTGGAAAGCTCTGTCTCTCAGGCCAGCCTTAGTATCACTCCCAATCTTCCTACTCTCCGGCCCTGACCTTGTAGCTGCCTCCCTTGACCCCTCTTCTCCCCTATAAGCCCTCTCTGGTTCTGGTCTTAGGGGTCCCTGTCCTCCTTCTCAGCCTGGGTTCTGCAGGAACAGCAGACCCCTTAACTTGAGAATGCCAGCTCCCAAACTTAGAAGCCCTGGCCTCTCTCCACTTTGTACTTTTACCACTGACCTATAGCTGAGTTCTCAACCTGCCACTGAGTCTGATCATTGGGAATGACCAGGTTCTATACTGACTTCTGCAAGCAGGTAAGGGCCTGGGCCCATTTTTTAGGGAGCTTATGTGGCAAAGTAAGGTCAACTGGTCTTTAGGAGACCACCACTGAGCTCCCTCCTGAGACCTCTGCTTTCCAGCTCTGGGCCTTCAGGGACACCCCTGAACTTGTCCAGGCCCACTCCCCCACAACTGGCTGTCACCAGCAGCCCCAGGGGAGGGGTATTACAGAGCTCAGGCCATTCATCTTCTAATACCCAAGCCTCTTACCAGAGGAAGATGATGGCAGATGGCCCACTGCCTACAGTAAGGAGCCAGTTGTTCTTTCTGGAGGTTTAGAGAAGAGTTGGGAGCGGGAGCAGCTTACCGTGCCTGTAGGGTCTCAGTGCAATTTGGTTTAACTCCACAGCTCTTTCCCAAGCAAGGCCAAGTGCAGGCAGTGTCAAGTAGGTAGCAAACAAGAGCGAAGACAGAAGTCAGGCCAGAAATGCAGGTAGGTGGGACAGTGGGGAAGGGGAATCCGTTTCAGAACAAGACTGGATGAGGCAGCTGGGCTCCACTGCGTCTAGTCCACCTCCCGAAAGAGGAGGAAAGGGCCAGGCAGCAGAGTGATCATTTGACCTCAGCCAGACCCAGCTTCAGGCAGGCCCACTGTGCACACAGGCCAGGTAAATAACAGCGGTTCCAGGAGGACACCACTGTTTCAGAAGCCTGGGGCCTGAGACACTAGTGTTCTCAGAGTCCCTCTCTTTGCCTTGAGGGCAGTAGAATTAAGGTCACAAATAGGTACTTTTAAGGAAGAAATGGTAAGAAATAGGATCTGTCCTGGTGAACCCAGTGAGCCTGAGGGCTGCTGTCTCACCCTGGCCTGCCACCCTCCTGGCACATCCTTTCCTCTGCCCATGGGCACCTGTCACAGCCTCCCTCGTCAAGAGCTCCTAAGGGGCAGGGCTTGATCCCATTGGTTTTTACCCCTCAGTGCCAATCACCATGGTGGAGCTGGAATTGGCTCAAACACCACTTCCTGCTTTCTACTGGGCAGATTGGGAAAAGCCAGGAAGTTCAAATAAGGCCAGGCCAAAGGGGTGGGTCAGAGCTAGTCGTGGGTGTTATCACGTGTTCCTTCCAAGAACACTAAGGTCAGTTAATTCAAGGTTCTTACAATTCATCCAAGAGAGTAAGGAAAGAAAGAAGAAAAGGAAGGAAGCCAGCTGGAGTCGGAGAACTCACTATACTCAGGCTACTCAGGAAGCAGACAGCAGGCCTTGCTTTTCCCAGGAAGACTGAGGAGCTCTCCACCTGGCCTGGCCTGGGCAGCAAGCAGACTCAAGGTACCAGAGTTGCAGGATGAGCCACAGGCACAGGCTCACTCTTGCTGACATCTGTGTCCATCCTGGCCACACCCAGGGCTCTAGGACCACCCTTGTATTGGTGAGAACTCCTACCCAGGGTGGGAGGGGGTGAGTGGGAAGGGGAGAATGGAGACAGGGAGGAGTCCTCTGAATTGCTGTGGGCCTTGCGTGGCTCCAAAGTTTAAGATAATTTGGGCCTTCAGAATGAGCTGCCAGAGGAATGCTGGGGTTGCCCATGGCCTCGCCGCCTCCATTTCTTAGAGTGGACCTGCCCGGGCGCTTTGGCTGCCCCAGGGACCTCTTCTTTAGTGCCCTTCTCCATCCCAAGCCCAAGGCTAATGCCTTCCCAGGACCTCACCCATGCTCTGGCCCACTTCCCTGGCATCTGAGACCCAGGAAAATATGAGAGAGGCTGCTTCTCCAGGTCCCCTCCTGTCTGGTGCCCTAGTCACAAGCTTGTCCTGCCCCTGTTCGGATGTTTCTAGTCATGCCGCCTCTGGGCTGCTGGAGAGCTCTCTGCACCTGTCTGGTGCCTCACCTGTAGAATTCTGGCAGGAGGAGGCAGCTCTGTGTTCTGGAGCCAAGGCCCAGCAGGGCAGGGCTGGAGAAGGAATTAGGCCTCAGTCGTCACAGCTGCTTCCTGCCTCTTGCTACGTGAGCAGTCTTTAAAGGTTGTAACAGTTTTTCTTTCCTTTTTTTTTGAGATGGAGTTTTGCTCTTGTTGCCAGGCTGGAGTGCAATGGCACAATCTTGGTTCACTGCAACCTCTACCTCATGGGTTCAAGTGATTCTGTTGTCTCAGCCTCCTGAGTAGCTGGGATTATAGACGTACACCACCATGCCCAGCTAATTTTTTTTTTTTTTTTTTAGAGATGGGGTTTCACCATGTTGACCAGGCTGGTCTCGAACTCCTGACCTCAGGTGATCTCCCCACCTTAGCCTCCCAAAGTGCTGGGATTACAGGTGTGAGCCACTGCACCCAGCCTTAAAGCCTATAACTTTCTAGTGCCCAGGAGTCCTCACAGGATATGGGGAAGGGCGGAGGCAGGAGGGAGATGTAGCAAAGGACTGCCAAACAACCCAGAGAACAGCCTGTGCCAGAGCTGGCCTTGCCTTCTTCCATCTGAGAGCTCTCCTTTGCATCATTTGTGGCCATGTGGATTCTCTGACTCACTGGACAATGGCACTGATCACTCCAAATTACAAAAAGCTCCTTTGTCTCCCAGATCCCAGGAGCCATGGCCCAGCCAACAAGCAGGTAGGTGTAAGAGTTCCCTGCAGGCTGTGTGCTCAGGGCAGCTCAGAAGAGCACCATTGGGTGCTCTTCTGCTGGGTAAGCACAGCACAGAAGCTGAAGCTTGGAGGAAGAGTGGAGCCAGGGAGGGACATGGGGGTACAGCTTCAGTTCCAGGGCAGGTCTTCTCAGAGGTGCCTCTGAGAAGTTTAGATTCTGTCACTTATTAGTGGGCTACTTTAGGCACATCACCTAACCTCCTTAGATTTATCAGCTTTCCCCGACACGCTCATTTACCCGGTTTCCGTGAGGTGTTCTCATTGCAGGCTCTGCACTGGCCCCTGGGAATACAAAGAGGAATTAAGCACTATTCCCAACCCAAGTAGCTCACAATCTAGTGGGAGAGATAGTCCCAGAGCTAGAGTTATAGTACAGTGTCGTATCTGCTATGATGAGGAAGGCCTAATGCAGCCCTGGGGCAGGTGGGGCACAAGAGAAGGCCTCCTGGAGGAATCACTCCTGAGCTGGACCCTGAAGGAAGAGTTAGGAGTGAGTGGACAAAAGAAATTACGAGGAAAGGGAACAGCATGTATAGAGACCCAAGAGACCATGCTCCGTTCAGGAAACTGGAGGCGTGCTGGGTGATCAAGCATGGCGCAATGAGGGTGATGTGTCAGAGCGTGCTGCCTAATGCCTCTGATATTGTGGCCTGTGCATTCTCCTCCTGATGTTGGATGAAGGCTGGAAACACCCCATCCACTGTCCAGAGGATGGAGCCCTGGGGTCTGGAGAGGACAGGATGTGTGAGAGGCAGAGCTTCCCATCCCCATCACTCAGGCCCTACCCTCCTGCCTCTGCCAGCCTCCCCCACTGTGCCTCAGCATGCCCAGTAACCCAGGGCCACAGAAGCCCCTGGGAACTACCCTCCAACTCCCTTTGCTGCCTCTTCCTCCTCCTCCCCACTCCTCCTCACTCCTAAAAACAGAACACCAGCCTCACTTCTGAGAGCCTGTGACTGGTCGTCAATGAAGCGAGGCCCTGGGGCCTGGGCTGGGCAGGTGTGGGGTGATCCCAGCTCAGCATGGGGAAGGGAGAGGACAGGGCTGGGAGTGGGCCCCTGGACAGCATTGACACAGCACTG